CTGAAATTATATATATATTCATTTAATTACTAAAGGTTGTTAGGCTAGTTCCTATTAATTACCACGTCTAATTTGCATTCCTCCTTCCATTCCTCGGAGGTCATACGTCCGAAGCCCGTCTAGGTGCCAATGATTTAGGATTGTTTGTATAGGTACGCAATCAATCTATCTCAGAAGTCTATTAACTAGGTTCCTAATTCCCCTTTTAAATATAAAGTGATCTGTAAAATGCTAAAACAACCTAAAATTTGATAAAATGTTTTTTATTTTTAAAATTAATTTTATTTTTTTATGGATATAATTAACGCTTCTTTTGACATCGATTTAAATTTAAGATTAAATCAAAGATTAGTCAGGGAGAACTTTAAGAGTCTAATATAACCTAACCTTCGTTGCTTTACCAGTTTGCATGTCAAAGAAATCATTTCTTCCTTCACTAGAAGCAGCCTCTAGAACTATGCAGGAAGTATATATTTATTCGTATAAAATTCGGCGGTTGTTAATAACTGTCAAGTACAAAAGCTGGTGCTCCACTTACGACCCATTGCGTCACATTAAGTCAATGCCTGAAACCTGTTTAAGGGACCGATTAACATTTTACAGTTCGAGGGGTTTGGCGATTTCGTCACTTGTTGAAAAATAATATATTGTGTTATCAAAAAATAAGACATTTATTATTTAGGCTTAGGTGATGTTTATAGGTGATATGTGATTCGACAGATAAGCTGTTAGCTGTGTTCAATACCACAATTCACCTAATACTATTACTATTGATGTGAATACAAAATACACTCGACTCGACGTCGTACATCCGTTGTTCCATAACTAAGCGTTTCCTTACGGCAGTTTTTGCCGGGCACCACTATGTAGAATCAGCTGAAGTATTCCGAACCAATCGACTTAGGGTCCTTCAAGAAAAGAGCGTACCAATTCTTAAAAGGTAGGCATCGCAATCTTCTGGCAATGGAGCAAGCTTTTATCAATTAAAAACTAAATGAAATTGAACTAAAAGTGTAGTAAACTAAATAAATTATCGTTAAATACGAATACTCAACAAAACTATCATAAAATTCTAAGTGCCTCTTCTACTGCGCTTCTTTAGAATGATTTTCTTTTAATTTTATTATATATTCAGGAAATATTTAAGTTATTTAACAGGCCTATGAACTATTTAGAACGTTTAATAAAATACTAGCTGACTTTGTAACCCACTTGGTTCAGTTAAATTTACCTACTAAACCCGATAAACGATTTATAACACGGTTATTGCACACCGTGCAGTTGTGATTCAATCTTAACTCTTATTATAGGTATCGCTTCCGTTAAAACCTGTAATTATCGTTTTAATATAACTCACCAAACATATCTTTATAATAGTTTGAAATAAACTAATTTTATTCATTCGGAAAGAAAAACTATTTGTCTGTGCTTCTTTTAAGAAATATATGTATGTGAATTGGGATGTATGTGAATGTAAGACAATTTTATTTTCAGTTATAGCTACACTTATACGTATTATAAAAGAAAACATTTGGACAATAAACAAAACAGATTACATTGAGAAACCAAATAAACTATCAGAAACATAAGTCAATTAAATACAATAGATTTAAAAAAAATAAAACTGAAATTAAGCATTTAACAAACGACAACTAATTGTTACTACTCCTAAATAAAGTCATAGTCTTCCCGCTTCTAAAAATATTTCCTCACACCCTTTTTGGTACGGTGGAATATGTCTACATCTTCATAATTTATTAACAGGGAATTCTAGTGTACTTTATTTTACCTTAATATAATATTGTGTATAATAAAGATACGATTGGTATTTCGTACTCTACGTCCGATGATGTTGGTATTATACTGCGGCTGCTCTATAGTAATGGTGTGAAGTGGTCATCAGACAGTTGACTATGCTGATCAACCATCGTCGTTCAGTATAGCCGGATATTTACAATAGGTAGTAAAAGGTGAATATGCGTAGTGCGTTTGTCGTAAATCGTATGTCGTTTAATTTTATAGCACTCCATTCAACACCATCTCGCAACTCCTTTTGTTGCTTAAGACCAAATTACAAACACTTAAATATTAAGTTAAAAAACCTTTTTGTTTGTTGAATAGCCTTCACTGTCTGAACCACATCGTCGATTTTGGGTCTTACGTTAATACTATTAAAGTTTTTGATAGCTCGAAAGTAAATAAAATTCTACACAATTTTGGATAGTTTACAACTTGGTATTTCTGCTATAGTTCAAAAACGTCCACGGTGCGCTAGTCAATTTCTCGATAAACCAATATATATTTCTTTAAAAAGTAAAATGAATCGTTGCTGTTTTAATAAATTAACTATTCGATTATATGTAGTGTTTTACCAGCCCTGCGATTCTGTAGCTCACTTTTCGAACTCACACAGCGGTTTTCGCATCGGCGGTCGCTCTGAAATCAGTCGTGAAGCAGTCATTTTATGATTTGGCATTCTGAAAAGGTAGGAGCTTGTAGTTTATTGTTTATGTGTGTGTGAGTTACAGAATCGCAGGGCAGTACTCTAGCCTCTGCCGTATAACCTAGTATTAATAGCGCACATAAAAACATCCAGTGGGCTGGGATTTGAACATACCGGCAATTACGCTAATACTGCTTTTTTGTATGACCACTATGTGGAACCAGCTGCCCACTGAAATATTTCCGAACCAATTCGACTTTGGGTCCTTCAAGAAAAGAGTATACCAATTCTTAAAAGGCCTTCAATGCACTTGCGAGCTATATCTAATATCACAGTCCTTGCTAAAGCTCCTCAATAAGTATTCCTAAGAGTTCCCGAGAGTAGAGTAGGAAATTGAGATTATTAACATCACGTGTATTGTAACTATTTCACCATATTGCCCTCATACGAACAATGTTTCAACGTCCTGACGAATTAATAATTATTGATGCAGGAACTGTTTAGTAATGAGGTGGGGCAACATTATTAATTACTTAAGATGTCATGTGGAACATGGTGTAATGGTTGCAGCTCCTTACAGACGTTGTGTAAAAAAAACATGGCGATTAAAAAAGAGTGGCGGAGAGTTTATTGCCAGTTCTTCTCTTCCGTTCTACGCCCTAGATTTGAGAACTGGCACTAAATGTATAGAAATGTAGTGAAACATTTCATATGCATTTCTTTTTTTTTGACGTTCATAAGTGTACATTGTGTACCTATATGATTAAATGATTTTGACTTTGACTTGGACATAATTATACAGTTCGTTTCTCAGTATTGGTAAAATTTTCTTAGTGAATAAGTCATTGAAATGAAATAAAGAACAGCGTTGCCTTTCTTGGTCAGTGGTCTAAAATCTAAATATATGACACCTAAATAAATGGGATGTTAAATGAGAATTGTTTGTCATAGAGATTAAGCGTCTGTTTAAGTGCGTAAGTTGTCTAAATGCCAAATTTTAGGTCGTTATATTTTTTGCTTAATTAGGATTCGTATAGAAATGCGTAAATTAAAGCTATTTTAATTACACATAGCTAAGAGATTTTATCAACGATTTGCGACTAATTTGAAAGTGTAAAAAATTCTTTAATCCAAACATGTCGAAATAACATATTATTTACACACGAAATGCAAGGTTGTTTAGTAACATATAATGTTAGACGAATACCTGATAGTGTAATTCACAGTTATTAACAAATTGTAATATGTATATTATACAGTCAAAACTGGCTTCTAAGTGCACTGGTCAAGGCTACATAAATGCTCTATTCCTCGTAAGCCTTTACAATATTTACTTTTATTTGTCACTGCATTATTGCAATATGATATTGTCTAAATAATATATAATATTTTATGTATACTAACATAATATAGGGTCAGGTGGGGTAAATGCGAGTACCATAACTAAATTGACACATTCATCTATATGTTATTTTGTGGTCTTTTACAATTTACAAATAATTTTTACTGTGAATTTTAAACATGTTTTAAGCTTTTGTTTGATGTTATTACTTATATTTAATTATGGATGATTACAGATTAACTCTCTATTGCATTTTCCCGGTCTAAAGGGGTAAATATAGAAAAATATGTTAAAATACTAATAGTGTAGATAGTTACTAATCTGGGGTAATAGCAATAAAATACGCAAATTGAAATACACTTTCGTTTTTATTGCAACGAGATCGGTAAAAGTCTGTCAATCCATCAGATTCAATAAGTTGTCAGAGTGCAAGAAGTACTTTACGTGTATAAAAGACGCCAGCACTAGTTTCTTTTGTGTGTAAACAGTTAAAGTTATGGTATTACATTTGCCCCGTTCATGCATTTACCCCACCTGACTATACATAAAAATTATAAGGGATGCAACAGACGGCATTATCGCTAACAAGTGATCACTTCCAGGCAACCCTAGCAAGGGAGAATACTAAAAAAATAAATATTATGGGTAAACTACATAACGAAATCTTATAAAAAAAATTATAGAACCTTACTCTCAAATAATACAAAAAAAATATTATTAAAACAAAGTTAAAGCTAATCTCACGGAGTCATTAGTTGCGATGCAATACAAAAGAAAAGAAGTTACAAGAATTACAAAAGTCACGATTAAGCAGGATAGAATATGTTTAAGAAATGTTTATGCAGAAGAGTTTTAAAGTATGTTAGGGAGGTAGCCAATCGTATAGATTCAGACAACTTAATGGCGGAGATACTAAACGAACTGCCTAAGAAGGATGAGCTGTGAGATGGGATTTCCAATAATTATTTTGATTAAAATCTCACACGGGAATTCTCTTACGCTCTATTAATTTTATTTTGCGTCCGAAACCACCCGTTATTAAGACAATTTAGCTACAACTTAGCTGCAATCATCGCTCTGTTGGTTAGACTTTATTGTTTCAAGATCATTAAGTGTTGGTATATTGACTAGGCGTGTCCTTCAACCCTGAGGTCGTGCGTTCGAATGCTGTTCCCCAATGAATATGTGCAATACTTTCTCGTATAATAAAGGAAAATGTCATGGAAACCGGCACGTCTTAGATCTTGTGGAGTGTACCAGGTACAGACGGCTGGTGGCCCACCTGAGACTGACATTTTACACAAAACGGTATTTTATTACTACAGATAAGTTTTTGGCAGACACTTTAACAGTATTTTGCCACAGCCTTGCGACATATGCGATCGCCATATAAATGGAAATGACCTTTGTTTTATTGTTTCTCGATGCATGTTTACGTTATTAATTGTTACATCAAAATTGAATCGCTGCTTATATTTCATATGATGAAATTATGTGTCTACTAGCTTTCGCTTGCTTTCGTGTAATTTGGCAAGATTCATTTGTGACGTCTTGTATTTAGGTATATTAACATAACAGTATTATCAATTATATTTAATTTTTATTCAAGAATAATTTTTTTATTCTGGAAACCCTACAAAAAACAATTTGGTATTTTATGAGTTTATCGCCCACATAAAGAGAATTAAACGCCGCCGGCTTCGTTTTTAATATGTAATAATACCGTATAATATATATTGCAAACGAACTATAGAAATATTGTTAGAATAAATATTACCATACCATCAATTCTTAAAAGGCTGCCCAACGCACTTGCGAGCCTTCTGGAAATGTGAGTGTCTATGGTATCACCTACATTAGGTGAGCCTTCTGTTCTATAAAAAAAATATTCTGAATTGCATATAACATTCAACATACGTCAATTGTAAATAATGTTTTCCTTTCGCGAATATATACTATGGTTAGGTTCCTCATTACTTAGACAAAATTGTGTTTGTCTATTACAAGGTTACTAACTTATGACCTCAATGTCCGTCGTCACAGCTAAGTGTTTTTAAAGTCACTTTTTACCTCCTTTAATATTTGGAACTCGCTGGTTGTGGGTAATTTCAAACCAAGACGATTTAGAGTTCAAACCAAACTTAAATAATTGTCAAATTTATAGTCGAGTCAAGAGAAGAAGAGACGAGCGCAGACATTTTTAAAAAGCCACTGATTTATTCTAGTAGAAGATTTAATAATATTAATTTCGCATAAAAAAGCCTCAATTGGAACTACGCTTCCCTGTTTCTACGTCGTATAGGCTAAACGAAACTAACCTAAAACAAAAAAAATGTGCTTTCAGACATCCTAAAATTCATAAATGTCGGTTATTACTGGGAGACTAGACTTTATGAATAAATTGTGCGTGACCCATCGTAAAGTAATTGGCGACGTATCGTCTGATACATCGTCTCTGATGAAACACTAACGGGGATATTAACATAACGTGTTCTTAAGCGAATTCTGTGGATAATTGATGTCAAAAGTCATGCATATTTTACTCACGTCTTAAAAGAATGGGTCGATGCGGATTAAGATATTTTAAAACATATAAAACGGTTCGGTATCTTTATATACTTCGTAGGTCTCCTACCAGAGCTACAAATTGGAACATTCCACTGTGCCACATACGAGAGATTGCGTGTGTGAGAGAGGATATCTGTTCTCGTCGCCACGGGACACTTGAAGGAAAGGACCTATCCCCAAACAAATTCGGCTTAAGGTGCTCCGAAGCGAGCGTATCAATTCTTAAAACGGCATCGAACTCGAGAGCCCTCTGGCATTGAGAGTGTCCATGGTCTTACACTTCTCATCTTCTTATCATTAGGTGGGCCTTCTGCCCCTGTTATAAAACAAAAAACTAATATTGTTGGTTTGTTATTCAATTTATTGGAACAATTATCAATACAGTAATCCTGGTTTAGAGTTCTATTTCGATAGCAATCTCGATCGAAATTGATTATCGAATCCAACTGAAATCTAATTTTGGCGAATATTCCATGTACAATTATCGAACTTATTCTTGTTGTGACATTTTATGTAGGTGACTATGTACAGAAAAGCACGAAGCGGATTAAACGGTACATTTTTTAACCGGTTATTATATAACTGACACTTGTCTATTTCGTAATTTCACCGATTTAACGAGTTTATCGCCATTCTTGGACTCCGCGATGTGACAAGTTGGATTAGACTTATAATTATTTGATATAGATAGTTGAGTGATATGAACTTAAATACCCATAGACATATCATATACCCAAGGATTTCAGACAGTCTGGAGACTATTATATATACGAAATTGTTTGATACTTTAGATGAAGATAATTAAGATGTTATTCATTCATCTAAAACCCTATATAATCATGAATTTATTTATAAGTAATATTATAGCTAAACATACATATTACACATAAAATAAAACACTTTCACAATATACAAAGCCAAAACAGACTACATTGTAAAACATACGTAACAGAAAATATAAGTAAAATAAGTACATAATAAACAATAAAACTTTACATTAACCAAACTATAACTTTAAATTTTAAAGAAAAAAGGAATTGTTATTACTGTTAAGTAAAGTCAGTCTTCTTAAAATATTACCTCACACCCTCTTAAGGTGGAAAATGTCTACATCTATGCAATTCGTAGATAATTTTAAAGTACAAAAGCGTATTTGTGACAAGCGTTTGACTGCGTAAGTGATTGTATAAAAAGATGCGAAATCTCCTAGACAGCATGTCGAAACAACAATTAAGTCTGTCATCGGCAAACTCGGAAATAAATTCATTGTGTGTAAATAGCATCATCTACATGTCTAAAAATAAATAATTTAGAAAGCTTATCTAACGATGGTATTGGTAAACTTCCGTTTTTAACATCGATGGGAACCGGGTTACATTTAATCGCTTGTTAGGCATTGGAGATCCGTGAATGTGTAGTTTAGAATAACGCAGTTAAAACGTGTACGCCATAAAGATTGTTTAATAGCACAAAAAATCCCTTATCGCGATCGCTGCGGAAACTATTGACAACAGAGCAAAGTTATGTGCAACATTTTAATCTTAAATTTTAGACGGTAAAACGATACGAGCCAATTAATGTGGATGGCACCGCAGAGCACAGCGTTTATTAATAAAACAAAAACACGAGTAAAAGCAAGACAAACATTTGTTGATGATTTTCGTAACATCAACCAAACAAGCCATAAAAGGCTGCTGCAGTCTCTGGACGACCATGGTAGTGGGACCTTTGCTCGACTTTAACAAAATAAAATAATTCTAGGCTCTAGTTTCTTGGGAATACCTCCACTGGGAGCTTCCACAACTCGTTAATTCCCATAAGGAAATACCTAGTGAAGCGGATGTCAAAAGTGACAGAAATCCTGCAACTTGCCATAATAAAACTTTGTATACATTTCATTCGAATTAAAAACATATGAGTAAATCTAGACATTAGTAGTTAATACCTATTGCTTATTAACTACTAAATGTTACAATTCATTACAATTTACAACAAAATTTTACAATTCGAATGACAATTTAGAATAAAATAAATACCATGTCTGGTACCGGTAAACTTCGTATATCAGAATAGGCTTTAAACTTTGTACGGAACATTAATAATAAATTGATTGGCAGGCATTTGATTGATGAGAGCCTCATTCAAAGATTACTGATCTAACGAGTTGTATGGGCGGTGTCTTTTCATGAAATTATATCTATAACTTATCATTCTTCTAATCAAATATAATGATAATTACTTTAATGAGTAAAAAGTAATACTTTTTCCAATTGAATTGTTATGTATTTTTAAAGCTGAAAGATCAGAGTTTCATTGTTGGTGAAACAGGAAAAGGCCACTTGTTGTTCTTATACATCTAATTTTACTCCAGTATTTTCGAATCAAAGTGTTACTAAAAACAATAACCTTTTATCTCAGATACTTTTCCACTTAAAGATATTTATATTTCACTCTTACATCAGCTCATTCTTTTTAAATATCTGTATGCCCTTTTATGGCAAATGCCGCCATTCCAGTCTGCACTGTTCCTCTCTCTGTGCAAGTACCACCTGCTGTTTCCTTAATCAAATTAATAATAAAAATATTATCATTATTTTTGTAGTATTGTTTCACTTGCGAGAAAGATACAATAATGATTACCTAACAAAATATTACTAGCAATATCGCGGCCTAAACTATAATACTATCAATACATGTAATTAATTTAAATATACCTAAGTACGCATTTAACTGCTTAATGATATATGTCAAAAAGAGACGGATATTACAAAACACTCATTAAGAGGCGTATGGCGAAGATGAAATTAAAAATTATAATTAACATTACCTAAAAGGCTAACGGGGTTACGAATACAATTTTGATTGTAATGTCATAGTATACTAACTTGTAGTTAAACCAATATGTTTGAATTTGCTAAAGGATTGGATTTATTTCTATAAAGCACTCTGTCACAGGGTCGATGTTAATTTAAATGTTCATTTTTTTATTTATTACATTTGGATGCATTTGTATAGATATTTGCCTTCAATCCTATTCCATTTTGTATTTTGTTATTATGCTACATATTCAGGATGACATTTAGTCCATGTAATTTTGTTTAATATTTAATAATAATCCAACACGGCTGCGGATGGCTGCATGTTGCACCGCGCTATATTCCAAAAATTGTTGCCATGGCTATAAGAATATTTAATCACCTTCCTAGAAGTTATAGATCGCTGCCATGTAATGTTTTCAAGGGGAAGGTGATTAGGTTTCTAAAGTCAAGGTGCTTTATAGCGTGAGCGAGTATTTAGACCATAAGTTAACAATTATAAATGACTTAACTTCTTATTATGACATTATGTTAATGTTCTTATTATATGACATTGCAAAAAATTTATATGACATTTGCATGCCTATTTATATATGGCTGATTGTGCGGATCTTTCTTGTTGTTCGATCTAATTGTACCACTATCTTGGCAAATAAACGGTTTATTTATTTATTATTTATTATTAACATTACAACCTCCGACGGCGTGAATTTGAAATTCATCCACTTGTCTCTCATCCTCGTCACCATTTTCCAATGCTAGCCCGTTATCCCTTTTATTCCAGCTTTCTGGCAGGTGACCATTCTTTTCTTCCCACTGGGCCCTTCCAAGTAAGGGTATTTTTGATCCATCTGTCAGCACAAACGCAAAGTACTAAAACAACAATAGAGGATAATGTTAATTAATGTTCTGTAATCTTACAATACAATGTCTAAGTCATAATTAAACTTACTTTCATTACTGTTGGTTAATAAACTGTGTACAACGTAGCTTTCTCGTATGGTTTGTATGCGTGGAGTGCGCGGGCGCAGCGTTGCGTGCTCTGCGGTCGCAGGGCGCTGTGATCTAATACGACAAGTGGGTCAAAGTCACTGTCCACCATTTACATGTAACATGAGTTTCCACGTCGTGGTCCTTTTAAAGATTTTCGCAAGTAATAATACTAGATAAGTATTTAATAATGTTTACCAAAGTTATAAAAATACTTTAATTTATTTTAACTTCTGAGAGCTTTTTGTGCAGACGTTTATTTTATATTCCCGTTATGAATTTTATAAACAAAAATATGAATGTCGTGAATAATGATCAATATGGTTATTAAAGACTAGAGGCCTGTCCGCGTGTATGGACATATTAAAAAAAATATATATACATATATATTTCCCGGGGATAATGATGAAGGATTTTTTGCAGATTGGTCCAGTTGTGTTTAAGTTTATTCGTTACAAACATACAATTTTTATCTCTTAATAATATTAGTATATGTTGATTTATTTGCGTAAACTATTATGGAAACTTGCAGTAATGACCAATATCTTATGATAATATCCGAATAGAAAAATAGTTTCATATGTCCAAAATACATACTATGGGGTTTTTAAACAGGTTCTTTCATTTATAAATAAATAGAACAAGCAATATAAATGCATTGTACTATTTTAAGTGTCTATGAGCTATTTGGTCATCGTTACAGCGCGAGTAGGTCAAGTGGCCAAGTGAGACATTCAGAGCGCCATTATGGTCTTCCTGACAACATTATAAGTGTTTGTCTTAGACTTCTCGAATACCAATGAGCATTGTATAACAAAGCACTTGTTTGAATAAATGACGATGATAAAATGCTGCCTAAATAATATTTAGACAAAATATTGTTTATATACAAAAATATATACGAGTAATAGTAATAATTAATTTGCAAGAATATGGTACTAAAATGTTAAGGTGGTACAATCTAAAGTTCGCATATTCTGCCACACGTTATGGCGTGCAAATTTGTCTTAAAATATATTTATTACATTATCAAATTAATATTAATTATAATGTTTCTCGCAAATAATCATTAATTTCTATTAATATATAATGTATACATTTCTTGCAAAGTCAATTTTTTTCTTACAAACTAGTTTGTATAAACTATTCAATTATGAAATTGAGAAACTGAAACAAAAACCTTTTAATTTCTATATGGCAAACATCGAGGCATTTTCACAACAAAATAATAATTTTTGGAACCTTTTCGTAGTTAAATGTATTATGTAGTTAGTGTAACTGTTTGTTATTATATATAATTTATGTTAGCTGTAGGATAATAAATAAATTAACGTTCAATTGTAACTTAAATATCTGTGTATCTTAATTTATTGCATATCTCTTTTCAACATAGTACGACTGTATTGAGGTACTCATGTTGATAATTAAGAGTAATTAATTGGTTGGTAGAACGTACTAAACAATAACATATATAAAATTATTCAGGGCCTCCACTACCCTTCACGTAAATCCAATGTGCGTCGCCAGCGTGCTATATCAGTAACAACACCTTTCCCCTGTGAGGAGTCCCTCCACTGGGGTCGTAGCAAGCAAGTGCCCACCAGCGTACACAAGCTGCGGCCAGGGGACATCGATGTGGTGGCAGCTATTGGAGACTCTCTGGTTGCTGGTAGCGGAGCCTTGGAGGAGTTTGCACTTGGCGCTGTAGTGGAATATCGAGGTGTATCCTGGTGCGCCGGTAAGTTCCTGTAGAAGTAGTAGACGAAATATAATTTGACTATCACAATTAAACTTATTGTTATTATTTATAGCCTTATATCAGAATACAAAATATATACATAATAGTTATTGTTTTTCTTAATGTACGATAACCGATTCTGTGTGCCTACGGGAAAAGGCCTCCCCCATTGTCCTCCATTTTTCCTTATTATACACCAATCTCGTCCAGGTTCTTCCAGCCATTTCCATGATTTCATCGGCTCACTTTTTAAATTGCCTACCTCTGTTTCTTTTATGGCCTCTTGGTTGCCATAGTGTTACAATTTTGCTATAGTATATCCAGCCCTTTTCCATTTTAGTTGTTTTGTTTTTTATGTAACGGCAGTAAACTCCGTTTTATCTTTTAAATTCTTCTTACTTATTTTGTCAATTCTTGATTGAATGACTCTCAGGGTTACGCTTAATCTTTCACATTGTGATTTGGTAAGTGCCCAGATTTGGCAGCCGTATGTGAGAATTTTTTATTTTTATTTTATTTGATTTGATTTGATGCACAAAACACATTACAATCTTTACAAAAATAAACGTAAAACTAAGAGATTTGAACTGGATTCTAACGTAAAACTATGTGCACACTGCAAAATTAATGTTACAATAATGAAAAAGCTCATGACTATTAAAGGTAACATAGTAAAAAAAATAAGAAAAAATAAGAAGTTCCTCGACACCAGTTTAACGATGAGGGTGGGTCAAGTCATTTAGGTAGGTATAGCAACCAGGGCCACAAGGGTCAGCACTTAACCTACGATGGAGGATGTCTAGGAGGAGAATTGGTAGGATGCATGTGTTGGAAAGTTTTCTCTTGATGTGCATGCTTATTTGACTATTTTTCATAACTTCTTTTAGAGACTTATATCTCCGCATTTCCAATTCTTCTGTCTATTTTCATTTGTTGTTGAATCATGCACTGCATTATTTGATAACAGTACACGATTATGTCTTCTTTCAGGCGGAGATAGCACGTGGCGTGAGTTCCTAACATTACCAAATATCTTAAAGGAGTACAACCCAAACCTTCGTGGCTACTCTTCTGGCACCGGCGAGTGGTTAGCCAAGAACTCAAGACTTAACGTTGCTTTTCCCGTCGCTTCCGACCAAGATGCATATAAACAGGCTAAGGTAACATTTATTTAAAATTTATTTATAAAAACTTTACTTGAAATATATTCTGATTGTAAATATAGATACCAATGGCGCTACATCCTTTTAGGTCTCAGATAACTTTATCTGTCCCTTGATCATTTCTAGTAGGTGATCATCCGTCTGTACCTGATAAACACCGTCCACTTTTAGGGTTTCCTCACGATATTTTCCTTCACCGAAGGAGCGTGTGTTAACTGCGCACATAGACTGTAAGTAAATTGGTGCACAGCCGAGGATCGAATGTACGACCCCAGGGATGAGAGTCGCACGTTGAAACTTCACTGCTCTTTCTGATGGAAAATGTCATCTAATATTTATGTTTTGCATATTTTGCACTTCTTTTAAAAAAACGCGCATATTTGTTCCTATTTTTACCTTCGTTTGTAAATGTTTCTGTTTTTTTTTTTATGCCGGCGCAAAAAAAATGAAACAAAAACCTTGGATTGGTTTCTTGATACATCAGACCATACTGTTGTTACATCACCGACCACAGACTTGTGAAAATGATAAAATTAAAGAAAGCAATCTCTTATAATTTTATCTACAAACGTTGATTAAACGTCATTAAATGAATTAAATCGAGTGATGTTAGCATAATTACGGTGTTTTGTATTCAAACCGAGATACGTAAGTTCTTAAGTGGCCAAATTGAAAAGTTAATAGAGCATGTGTTAGTGGTCCCGCGGTCACGAAGATATTTAAGAAATCTATTAGTAGGTTTGAGATGCAAGGAAATACTTAAAATATATAAATTATTATATATGTCCAAAACAGAGTAATAACATGAACCACAGATACGGGGCTTTTGGACACGCTTTACACAGATTCAAACTGAAACAAGCCCGACCGACTGTAACGAAAGAACCGACCAAACTGTGGTTCATTTACTCTTTCGACTCTCGAAAGAGCCAGATGTGATCTGGCATAAGGGTACCCCGGGATGGGCTATCCGATATGATGTTTGAGCACAGATCGCAGCTGGAAAAATTCTGCCATAAAATTGTCAAATATGTCAGTAATAGCTGAAGAGGATTACCTCTTCGCGTACCTTCTTCTGTGCGGGTCCAGCCGGCCAGCGGGCAAGCAAATAAAAGTCCCTTTTTAGGAAAGGGGAGATTTGACACTCCCCTGCTGCAGCTTCTCGGCCACAGATCTGCCTGATCACGTGACTGAAGGGATGTAGAGTTCCTATAAATAAAAAAAAGAACCACAGATGCTTTATAGGTAGGGCATTTTTGAAATTCTCGCCATCTTTATTGGTTGAGGTATAACACCAAATAATTAGGTATATCATAAAATCGACAACACGCTTTCAGCAAACAAATAGTTAATTTCATAACCAAGCGTTGTAGCCTAATTATGCAAAAAACTCATTGTATCGCGCAGCCCGGACATACAGCGACCAATATTTAAGCCTTAACTTGTTGAAGCTATCGCGGAATATGCTAAAGAATTATTAAGAGAGTGGTAGTAGTTTTTCAGTAGTTTAGGAGATATAGCCAAAAACGTGATTTCACCCCTTTTTCCTAGATGGCGGCCGGGGGCAAGCTCGCCAACCCCACAAACTTGAGTTTAAGCTTGTATTGACCCCCCCTACATACCTCATAAATAAAATTGCGTCCTCTAACAATTGTTCAGTTGGGCCCTCAAATTCTAACATTTCAATGGACTATATATATTTTTTTTAGCTGTAGGATTACGAAAAAAATAAATTACCAAGCGTTATCAATATTAGATAAATACGTCACTAGACCTAGCCGTTTAGTATCCGCAACTTAACATCGTGAGTAATTTCTTTCGGGTTTTGTGAGATTACCAATTGCAACATAATTTACATAAGCGTGTGGTTAAACCCTTGAACCAATATTAAGAGAACGTGACACGATATTCTGTCAAATATAGCATACATCAAGGTGATCCTGGGATGTGCAAAGTTTTCACAATAACGAGCTTAGCGCGAACTTACGAAACAGTTTAAAGTTTCTCTTTTATAACAACTTTGTCGACGGGAAATAAATTATTTGATATTTGTTTGAAAATTTTACAATATAGCTTGTGTGTTGATATATAAAAATAAATCTCGTCTGTTGTTTTTAAATGTTGTATGTATTTTAACATTTGTGGCGCTATCTGTTACTCGTATAACACAAGCAACGTAATCCTAATAGGGAAACATTTTGTTAAAAAAATTATAACTTCGATGACTTATAGTAAATTTTGTGCTTCAGGTAATCGAACCTTTAGCTTTTTTCCAGATATCAAATAAAAGGATGCGTCAACATAAATATTGTCTATATACTTATTTATTTTGAAAAACCTTACAGTTTACTAAACTGCATAATACAAATAATTTTAAAATCAAAATGCCAATAGAGAATGCATGTAACTGAAGCCGGTGTTCTAAATCGGTTTGATTAAGTGACATGAAATGTCTGATTTAAGGATACCTTTTGTGAAAGAGTTGCGAGGGGAATTAAACATGTCTAGAGTTGAAAAAAAAGTCGTTGTATAGTGCAGGTAGCCGATTAAATAATAAATTTTCCAAGAGTTGAGGCCTTTCCGCTAAGCTATTGAAGAAGGAACACGATACCTCATAAACCCGGCAATATCATTTTGCTTTGATTTTTTAAAATTTATTTCGTTTTTCTCATTCCAGATACTTGTAGCGAGAATGCGCTCGTCGCCCGATATAGACGTATCGCGCGACTGGAAGATGATCACCGTGTTCATCGGTGCCAACGATCTGTGTTCAGCATCCTGTCTCTCACCAGTTTCCTGGTCACCGACGGCTCACGCCAGGAAACTTGCTAGAGCCCTCGACTACTTCCAAGAACATTTGCCGCGGACCATAGTTAATTTAATTCCAGTTTTGGGTAAGGCAAACTTCTATATTTGGGTTATTCTATAAAAGTTGTATTATTGTTACAATAATGTAATATTGAATAATATATTATGTGCTTATATTCCTTCATTTCATGTAATATTCAAGCAACGAGTTAATGAAGAAATAACTATTTCAAACCTAGTTTCTTGAGATTTTAGTTTAATATTCTTATGTTCTCTTCGTTCTAGATGTATCTGTATCAGTCCGCGTACAGCGACCGCTAATGTGTCGGCTGATGCATCCGCTCTTCTGTCGCTGCTTTCACCGCGGAGGTGGAGAGCTACTTGACCTCGTGAAACAGGCAAGGCGTTATCAAGCCGCTGAAATGGCTTTAGTAAGTTTATAACTTCACATACTATCTAAATGAATAAAAAAAAAATCGGTGTCGCTGCAACCTTTTTAGGTCTGGGACTCAGGTTTCTGTATCTGGTTCATGATCATTTGTCAATCTAATAGTCAAGTAGGTCATTAGCCTCCTGTGTCTGACACACGCCGTCGACTTTTTTGGGTCTAAGACATGCCGGTTTTCTCACGATGTTTTCCTTCACCGTTCGAGCGCATGTTAATATTTGTCCTAACATTAGACATGATAGTGTATACGCCAGGGCTATCAAAATATTTAATTACCTTCCCAGAAGTAATCACTGCCGTGTAATGGTTACAAGGGGAAGGTGATTAAATGTTTATAGGCAAGGTGCCTTTATAGCATGGGAAAATATTTAGACCATAAGTTTTGACAACAATTAAAAAAACTTAACTTATTATTTTGACATTATTATAATTAATATGACATTTGCATGTCTATGTTTATATGGCTGATTGTGCGGATTTTTATAATAAATCAATCTGAATGTACCACGTTCTTTACAAAGAAACCATTTGTTATTATGTTTTATTTTATACATTCGTTGGTAGATACAGAAGTACTCGTTAGCTAATCATGTAAACTAAAATTCAATCTTGATTTGAGAACTGGCAGAAAATGTAAAATTAGAAGCATTTAATGTATATATTTCTTTTTTACGTTCATAAGTGTACATTGTGGTTCCTATGTGAATAAATGATTTTTGACTTTGACTTTGACCTTTTTCAGATCGAGAGTGGAAGGTATGACACTCGCGACGACTTCACAGTAGTTATACAACCTTTCATGCGTCTATTCAATGCACCGATGCCTCCCACTGAGCCCCTGCCTCAAGTCATACACCAGTCATACATCACTCACGACTGTTTTCACTTCTCCCAGAAGGGGCATGCCCTTGGTGAGATCTATTTCTTAATTTGTGTTAGTTTTTAAAGAATGATTAACAAGAAATAATGCCTAAATGTATTTCGTCCGCTTATATTTCAGAGACAATTTACGAGTTATTGACTATTTTGACTGATAGTTGATATGAGAGTGTGTGTAATTTACCGTTAAAATCAGTGATTTCCAACCTCTTTTGTGCCATGCCCCACCGTAACCTTTCTTAAATTCTTATAATTGTATATAAATAATTGAATTTTTCACTTAAGAAACTTAAATGTTTTAGGAAGAAATTACTGTAAGTAAATTTTCAAAATAGATTCAGTAAATTTTTGTGCCCCCCTGTAGGGCGTGGGCCCCACGTTGGGAAACATTGGTAAATGTTCGTAAACATTGTTTTAAATTAAAGTAAGTATATCTGCAAGGCCATAAATCCATTTGGACTATCTTTCCGTCTCTACCATCTGTAGTACCATTATCTTGCCATGTTATAATGGATTTTGTGTACTTTCAGCTGCCAACCTACTCTGGAACAATCTACTTGAGCCTGTGGGAAATAAGTCGGATAACGCTCCTCCCGTGTTAATGAACTCTTTTCGATGTCCCTCCCGACAGACACCTTACATCTTTACCAACAAGAATTCTCAGATGTTTTATCAAACAGGAAGGCAGGATACGTGATATTAATTTATTCAAATGTAGGAATTCACAGGAGTATCTTATAATAGCTAGCTATTTAAGAAGTTTTTAGATTTATAATATCGAATCTAAAAGAAGAATATTACTCGGAACTGTTTATTTATTCTTAAACTTAGCTTTTGTAACGCATGTAATGAGTCTTAGGGGACTTCAAGAGACAAGCATCACTACATTAAAGGCCGGTAACGCACTTGCAAGCCTCCTGTGTGCAGGTGTTGCAGGTGTCCATGAGGGGTGTCTGATCGTTTAATAACAATAATTAACCCCTAAACACAGAACCCTGACAATATGAAGGTTGTACAATTTGAAGCATCATTAACCTCATTTTTTTGACATTTTATTTCTGGATTTAATAGTTTTCAGAAATTAACATACTCAGAGTCGTCGGTTCTCTAACTGTGATTACATGATAGCGTTGCAATTCAGTTAAATAATTAACTATCCGGTTAACGAGCGACTTAAGGAAGCATAAGGCAGTTAAAGATTTTACTATGTCTAGTTTTCACCACACCACCACTGATACGATCTTTTAACAAAAGGATGTGATATTTTTGGAATTGGATATTACTTGAGTATACAAGATGACTTATTAAACAGTCACAGTTTCATCAAAATCCGTTCAGTAGTTTGAGATACCTAAGTATTGATAGTATTTAAAGTCAGCTTATATATTATATATAGATATCAAATTACTTTATAAGGTTGCGATTGGGTATGTAATGGTATTGAAATCTTTACTTAATGGTTTAAGTAGCCATTAACTATTAATAAACGACTAAGAGTACCGCTGTCAGTGCGATAACTTGTTTTTATGAAAAGTATTGTAATTATTATTGATTAATTTAATGTTTTGTTATCCATAGATGATGGTTTTTTCTAAGCAATTTTATTAAATTTCTGGAAAATAGTAGATAAATAATGTATATACTTATATAATAAAATTCTCGTGTCAAAATGCAACCCCGAACGGTTGACGGATTCCTCTGAAATTTGGTAAGCATATTGGGTAGGGAAATTACATCTATTTTTCACACCCTAAATAAAAGGGTGTCCACCCCTTTTTTTTTGAAAAAATTTTTTTTTTTTTTTTTATGATAGATATTCAAAAATACATAACCCTTCCTATACCACCCTTTTTTTATATAAATATATAGAGTAATGGAAAACGACGTTTGGGTGGAGTTATATAATAAAGCCAAAGCTATAGATAATATAAATCTATATCAAAGCAAAGGCCTAGTCTGGGACTAGTCCATTACTTTTTGTTTTTATTTTGTCTTACCTTGTTTTATTAACGAAAAAGTTTTTATAAAAAGACGAGAATATATTTATTGTAAATTTCTACGAGATAGAGTATCCGTATCATTTACAATAAATATAATTGTAACGAATTTCAACATGTTTTTATCAAAATAATTGTCAATGACAACGCTTTGAAATCTCTTATTATTTTTAATTTCATCAACTATTGATGTAGGTATTGGATGTATGTATATTTCGAATGTAGCCTCTGTTTTGTCATTGTTATGTATAGTAATTTAAATCAAACGTTGAGTAGTTTGTTTGTTGGTTTTTAAGTGCCATTTGGGTGAATGTATATAATAATAAAGTATTCAAATACATAAATAGTTTTACTGTGTTATATTTAACTCTTTTATACATAGATATTATTATTATTTAAAAAATCTGTCACAATTAATTCTTTATATTAACCTTCTGTTAATACCAGACCCAAACAATTGATTCACAAGGAATCGAATTAAGATACTCTGGGTCATACGTTATATTTACAAAGTTAAACGCCTTGAAAAAAAATTGAGCAAACGCATATTTACAAATTTTTGCTAAATCATTTCTCTTGTAAGTCCTAGTCTACTTAAAAGTCACATTAGTATTTTAAATATTAGAATTAATAGTGATATCACTGTCATAATATTTGTATTACAATAATAAATGTGAATTATTATTGTAATACAAGTTTCTTAAATAAAATTCACCAGCAAGGGCTAAGCGAAACGCACCGGAATTTAAGGGTCATTTTACAAAGGACCAGGATGTATAGTATATTTTTCATGGCCTTAGCTGACACGGCTAAAGATGCCATGACGTTTAATCTCATTCATCGTGGCTGGTAACACAGAAAGCAAAACATCACGCGGCTGTTCGCCAACTAGATGGACCGATCAAGTGAAAGACTCATCGATGTCAAAACTGTGCACTGTAATAAGAAAGGCGCTGAAAGGAAACCAGTGGAAACAGATAGTCCGCTTCAGATGTTTCTTTGCTGACCACGGGGCTTTGATGTGAGCTACCGACTGAATAGAGAAGCTGCAGTAGCGTAGATGTTGATAAGTTTATGTTAACACAATTATGTACAAGTTTACCCACACAAAGTAGCATTCTTTTTATCATGTTAAATTCCGTCTGCAAAACCTTCCTAGGAGTTCCGACACCTTTCTCTACTTTTCTTTCTCTTTCGAATTCTTCGCGATTATAACGGATTATAACTTATCCGGAGTTGGATAAATATTCGGTAGTGGGCTGCCGGCTGATCAATTTTAAGAAAGCGTTGTTAAGTTCCTATCTCGTACCTAATCCGTTGTTTTGCTGGTATTTTTTTTCTAATTTTAATGCAAAATTTATGGTATTTTTATTTTATCTTGTATATATTTGAATTGTATTTTCTGTAACATTTATGTTTATCTAAATTGTCATACAATTTAGATAAAAGAGTTTGTAACATATACCGTAGATGTAGTATTATGTATGGTGTAAATTGGTATGGTAAATGGTAATGGTAAACTTGAATAAATAAATAAATTGAGAAATTGTCAATTTCAAACGCAAGGAAAACATTGACTATTTTCTATTCTAACTATATACTCGTAGACAAGATGACAATAATAACTGATGTCGCTCGTCTCAGACAATCATATGTTATTATTCGGGTCATCAACCACGAGATAGGCGTGGCTTACAATACCTCTATAATGTATGTCTAGAACTTCGTTTGTACATAATTTGAACTAAATAGTATATGAGATTATTTATTACATAATGAGTTTTATTTGGAACCTTATGTTTTTAACTTTAATAAAGCTAATAAACCAAGTTTTTTATTTTGAGTCTGATCATAAGAAATCTTTCATAATTTTATTAATTTTAGTGTTCTCTTGGATTAAGCAAACTTTTCTGTATTCACCAAATCTCGCTTACATAATAGGCAGGAATCAACACAGGATCATCAGATCTCACCATAAAATTTAATTCACATTCACAACTGTGGCATATTACTTTCTTCAGTCGGCAGCTCATGTATGAGTGTCTTGGTCGGCAACGAAGCATCTGAAGCGGACCATCTGTTTCCATCGGTTTCTGTCCAGCACCTCTCTTCTCCTGAGTACATACCTCGTTTTTATGTGTCCTTACCAAGAAGAAAGGCACACAATAGTCAGTCGTACGAGTTTGAAGAAATTGTGTTAGTTTGGGAACAAAGAGAGGTTAGCCTGATACTGATACCTTGCCAACTCTCAAGTTTACAAAAACGCATAAAACACTCACTATAAAATTATAAATTGAGGACGTAACTATTAACAAAAAGGTATAAATAAAAATAAAAATGTCTAACATAACCTGAGTAAATCTCAACATAGACAATAAAAATGTGACGATCGGCCGAGTAAAAATATTTTGGAAATATTTAAATTTTATTAAACTAAAATTATGTATTTCCAACAATGAGTCTATCACTTAATCGGTTCATCTGGTTGGTGAACAGCCACGTGATCTTTTGCCTTCTGAGTTACCAACCACGATCAGTTTGTCCAAGTTCTCAACGACTGCGCATATGGCCGAAATAAGATACAATTCGCTGTCGATATATAGAAGACAGGCGAGTCCGTATGCGCAGTTGGGTCAAATATAAACCCAAAAATATATACATAGATGCATAATATTATAAATCAATACACAACGGATTAGTTGATACGGTGTGGAATTATAAAAAGTACCCTTTTAAGTACATTTTCAGGGAAATGCTTTTAAAACACAGATACAGAAGCTACGCGGACAAAATCGCGAGCATCTTGACGAATAGCATAATTGGTTGAAGTCTGTCGGTAATTAAAATGTACAGCCGACATTTCCTTCACAAGGTTTCAAAACTTATATTGGCAAACAGTTCTTCTATTATCAACTTTATCCATCAGGATATAGGGGTGAGAACACCGTGCAATAGCACGCCATATGGTCTAGTGTCATGTAATTATTAGGTACAAAAGTTCAATCGCTACGTGTGTTTTAATAAAAACAATTGGAAGCAATCGCCTCATAATTAATGCTAAAATAATGCAGATCTTAGATTTGTAATACAATAGATATTAAATGGCTCTGTGTTGAGTCAAAGGAAGCGATAGTGGTGACAATTCAAGTTTTACAAGAAGGTTATAGTTAGGAATTTAGTTCATAATTATTAAAATAAATATGCAGGTTTTCATGTCACATTATTGAAGTGAAATTTCTTTAGGCGCATGAGGGTAAAATTTTTACGAAACGTCACGAAGATGTGCAGCGTTTTTGTCGAAGAAAAGGAAGAGAGCGCTTGAGACCGATTGAGAGAGAGTGAGAAGGGTGAATTACCTTATAGAAATTCTATTTTTAAAAAAAGTAAAGAGAATTTATGAAATATTAGTACTTATTATATATTTTATGCAAAATAATTTATCGAAATCTCGAAATGACGAATTGTTAATTAAAATGCCTGGTGTTTTTACTATCGAAGAATTAAATTAAAAAAATTAATTTATTATTTGTATTAAATTTTGACACTTTTAATATTTTAATGACTATTAAATTCCTTAAATTCCTAACATATCTTCCTTTTTCCCTCCCTCTAAGTCTCGGAAATCTAAAGTTCTAGATATTTTGTATAAATATAAACAAGACTTAAAAATTAGTTTGCCAAAGAAGTTTCACTTCTGACA